TTAAATTTACTTTATTGGGAAAATAAAAAAATAAAAAAAATGTGATTAATAGAAGTTGTTATTTTTAACAATGACTGCTGAATTTCATTAATAAAAATAAATAAATTAAAATTATAATGTATCTAAAGAGAAAATTGAAACTAATAATCATCAAAACTCGTACATAAAATTAAAATATTAAGCCCAAATATACGTAGATAATGAAACTTTCCAAACATCAAAATAATTCAATAATCTTCATAAAAATTATTGTCTCTGTCAAAAGAGACATTTTACGATGTGATAAAGGAGTGATGGGCGAACAAACAATTTGGCAGACTGCTTCGCTATACAATTCTGATTATATCGATAAACGACCATTTACAAAAGAGGAGATATGACAATACGTGACCACCGACAAGCCAATCAGAAAACAAATGTCATAAGGATTTTTGTAGAAGCACCAACATGACCGCAGAAGTATGTGAAAAACTTACCGAAAACTATAAGGAACGTGCCACAAGAACAGAAAAAAAATATGCCACAATAGTAGAAAAAACGTGTCACAAAGACATAATATTTTATTTAAAAGTGAAAAAAACTTAATAAAATATAAAGATATAATATAAAAAAATAAAAATCACCGATAATTTTTCGAAATCGAAAATATAATTTAGGATGGGGAAATAAATAAGGTCCGCTAAAAGTCACAAAGGATATTAAATTTACTCTTCGTGTAGGGGCCAATCAACTCCAATCATGGAATTCATGTCAGCTGACTCTGCTCTGCTCTATCTGGAATCAAATGAAAATTTGTGGGAAGTCACGACGTGCAAAAAAAAAAATCGAATAAATAATATTGCGTTTGATTTAATTAAATACTTACCGACATTATATAGAGCTATAATGCTATGTTAATATGTTTGATGGTTGAGGTTTTGAAACGATTGTTACAAGTTTTAAAACATAACCATCAACTTTTTTTTTTTTGGATTTTTCAGATAATACTATATTTTAAAATAATTAATATGTTTTGTCTTAATTAATTGAACGAATAATAGAGGAATCAGACCATTTTGTCTTATCTATAAGTTGTTTTTATTGACACGATTAAGTTCAAACTACATATTTTTTGTGTGTGAAATTAAGGTCTAAGTGTCAATATGTACCTCCACGTTTTTAGCACGCTAAGATATCTACATTTGATTTTTTTTTTGTCTGTAGATGCAACCAAGGAGCAACTTATATTTAATATATGTTTGGAAATTACAAGCACGCATTTTTCAAATACGTTGATAAATTAATTTCGGGGAAAAAATTGGCGGGTACAAATATTGAAAGTTAATTTCCTAGGAATGTTTGATAAGAAATAAATAGGCATAATATTTTTTTTGAAAAGACAATAAAATACTCTTAATATTTGATAATAGTGTCAATTTAATTTCTATTTTTCCCTCAAGTATATTTTCCTTTAACATTTCAATTAAAAAATCTTCTGTAAATGAAAATTATTAATCAAGTCACGGTCAACGTCTTGAAATGACGTGACATACTTACATGATACTATAGTAGGTGTGATCGTGCCACATGTGCATAATGTGTTGGAAATGACATGCATCATTTTTTAAAAATTAATTATATATATATTTAATATTTTTATCTAATGAGATGATGATATACGTATTCATCATATTGATTTAAATTTAAATAAAGTAAAATATGATTTTGTGGGGACTTAAACCTAGACCAATATGTTTGAAATCTCAACATCAATCATCATGTCAAATCTTGTATTTGAAGTATTCATGCAATACAAGATACTCAACGTATGTGCTTTGTCTCTCACCCATTTTATGAAACATCTTCTCTGTCCCTTTCCCTGTAATTTATTTTTCTTTTGTTGTGAACCAAGAACCAAAATATAAATATATAATCAAACGCATAAATGTCAAAAAAAAAAACTGTCAGATACAATATTACAAAACACGTACCGTAGATTTGAAATAGTGAAGAACAAGACTACATAGCAACTAACCCATGAGGCTCTCGCATTTCGACAGCAACAAATACAGAGCAACAACATAGAGGAACATAACATGACTACTTTCGAGCTTCTCGCATCGAGCAGTCGGATCGAAGACATTACAAGGTGGTGGCCTGAGGCTGGAATAGTACACAGTGAACAATGCTAGTCCTTAGAGAATCGACAATCATTCACAAACAAAAAGGAAATAAAGCAGTCTACCATGAAAGAGTAGCGATGAACAGATGATAATGATATCAAGCAATAGCCTACCAGAAACTCGATGTACCCAGAAATTAGAACAGTTCTAAAATCTGTCAATATAAGTGTTCGTGAAGATAGCGAAAATAATGAAAAGGATATAATCAGTCCCCATGAAGTTGGTTAAAGCATTAGTTGCATCAGATGATTCCATGTATAAAACTTCATTAAAATAAGTAACCAGGTTCATGACCATATAACAACAAATTATTTATATTTGACAGTTTTTTGAACATTTATTCATTTGGTTTTATATGTATACTTTGGTTCTTAATTAATAAGGAAGGAAAAAGAAATTGATACTATTATTAAATGTTAGGGAATAATATGCTAAAAAAATAAGGACCAAATTATCACTATTATCCAACGTTAAAAGTGTTTTGTTGCATTATACCAAACAATTAAGATAAGATTGCTGTTTGCTTTTTATTTGGCACATTTATAATCTGAACCAAATCTTGTACGGCGACCTTAAAACCTAGGACATAGGAATAGAGAAAAGCATAATATTGATATTATTATAAGGTTTAATATAAGAACAATGGTTCAAATTTTATAATTTTTATTGAAGTGATGTCTAAATTCTTTTTCGTTCAATACCTATGTTTAATGTTATAAACCTTATTACTTTAAGTATTTGGTATGTAATGACGTTAAAAGAACCCATTAAATAAAACGTTACATTATTATAATTATAATTTTTTATATTTTAAAGAAATATTATTATATTAAAAAACCCTAAACTTTTTTATTTTACCTAAAATATCTTATAACTTTACTTCGGTCACCGGTCATTTTCAATCACTCATTTATCTCAGAGCGACCTTGACCACTCAATCGATACAACTTTCCAAACCTTAATAATAATCGTGATTGCACTTAAGTTGGAAAATTGTTAAAGGGGGACGAAGGGTGGGAGACCAACAACACGAGGGAATTATTTTGAGATAAATTATTTTTTAAAGAATAATATATATTTTTATCTTTTTTAAAAAATAATTTTTTTAAAATTATCCCAACGTGACATATGTTACTTAACGATATTTTATAACAGTCATGACACCTAAAGTGATAATATTTATAATGTTAAATACCTAAATTAACCTAAATAAAAATTGAACATCAATTTAGAGAAAATGATATAATTTAAACATTTATTTTTATATAAAATATCGTTGTAATAGTTGATTGAAAGTTTTTAAAGTACTCAAATGCATAGTATTTTTTAATTGAGGAATTAAGAATAATAATTAATTATAAAAATTGATATATTTCTATTATTTATTCAATATAAAGTACACCTAATAGTTCTTATATTTATATATATTAGATATAAAACTTATAAAAAGAAAGATGTTGGTTTCAAAAAAGTCGGCTTAGATATCTGATATATCCCTCATGAACCAACACACCAACCAATGGCAGCCAAGTAAATTGTATCCGCATGGGGGCCAAATGCATTCGCAATTATCAATAATTGAAATAAATAAAATAATTCCATTTACCTCTAGCTAGATTCACCGTCTACACTCGAATTTCGATTTATACAGATTAATCATAATTTTTTTTATAAATAATAATAACTATGTCAAAAAAGCAACAGCTCAGAGCTTAGATTTGTAGGATCCGTCCATTCTTCTCTCCCTAGATTTGGTCGTCCCCATCCTTTCTCCCTTGATACGATACGACCCCAATTATCCACCAGCTGCTCTGGCTCTGACTCAAGCTTTAATCGTTTGCTTATCGGCTCGGCAGTCAATAATTTTATTTACTCTTTTACTGGGAATAAGCAGCGGGGAACTCTCTCTCTTTCTGTATCTATCTCCGATTTTATTTTTGCCTTCTCCCTCCTTGATCACCTGTATTTCCTTTGCTGCAAACAGAAAATAGCATCCTCTTCAGAAACCAGGAAAGGAAATTTTTCCATCTTTAAAAATTTTCAACTATAGATATAAAAACATATATCCTTCTGCAAACAAAAGTCGTATAAATATCCAAGGCCTCTTTTGAGGGAAGAAAATCCAAATGCATGTAGTGATAACAACACTACAATTTGACTCTTTTAGCTTCTTTCCTTTGCATCATTTTATCTTTGGGTTGTGAGTGAGAACGAAGACCTGAGCATTTTCTTTGTTAAAAGAAAACAACTTATTGGTGAGAGGCCAGGAAAAATCGTTATCCTTCTAGTTGAGATCTTTTGGGTGCTTTCTTCTTGCTGGTGGTATTGCTTACAAGCTTTGAGGGACTCAAATAAAAAGACGGGTGTTTGGTTCACACTTTAAGGATCAAAGCTTCGAAAGTCTTTGTTTTTGGGAGGTGAAATGTGGGGCTAAGGTGTTGGAACATAAGGAAGGGCAGATTGTGTGTTTTTTTAGCATTAAGATTTGGTTCAAAAAGAATTAACTCCTGGGGTATTTGGGTGGAGAAGAAGATTGATTGGAGGCGGATGAAGCTAAAAGCGACTGTCTTTTGTAGTAAAACTGGGTTCGGTTGAAAAAATTAGACAGCAAGTCTTGGTGCCTTGTGTTTTTGCGTTGTCGTTAAAGTCTTATTCGATGGATAGATTGTCAGCTATTTTATCAACTGGTTCTTGTCAGGGCGTGGTATTTTTAATTTGTGGAGACGACGGAGTAGAAATAAAAGTTTTTTAAGTGTAAAGGTCGTTGTTTGGAGGAATTTGTTGCTTAATTGGTGGTGTTAAAGGAGTGATTTTAGCGGTGGGAATCTTCTTCTCGAGTATATAAACTTAGGAATTAAAGGTATTGTTGAACCGTTTGCAAAAAGAATGAGGCTCTCTTCAGCTGGTTTCAATCCGCAACCTCAGGAAGGTATGCTTTCTTAGTTCTTTCTATGGATTAGATTATGTTTCTTGAGAGGTGAAGGGGGAGGTTGGAGAATTGAAATTTTCGGGTGTTTGTTTATGGCTTGAGTAAGAGCAAAAAAAAAAATGGTTTAAAACTCCAATCAGTATTCATTTCTTTCCCCTTTTTTCCGAAAAGAAATGTTTTCCTAGGGGTAAACAAGGGCTCAAAAGTTTAAAACTACTCTGCTTTGATTTCATTCATCATTTTCTTCGTTTCAAGCCGGGAGTTTAATATGGTTATCCCTTATACGGGTTTGTTTTTTCTGTACTCTGCCCGAGCTTACCCATATTTGTTGGAAGTTTGGATTTTCTATCTTTTGGCATCCCTTGACCCGCTTGATTACATGTTTCTTTCCTTCCTTCATTCCTTTTGAATTTTTCTCTTTTAATTTAGTTTGAAGTAGTTTTAAGCAAATGCAAAATAGACGTTGCAGGAGAGAAGAGAGTCCTGAACGCTGAACTTTGGCATGCATGTGCGGGTCCTCTTGTGTCTCTACCTCCGGTCGGGAGTAGTGTTATTTACTTCCCACAGGGTCATAGCGAACAGGTTAGTGTGCTTGAATCTGGTCTTTAGCTTCCTACGATTCATTGATTTGGAACCAGATTTTGTATATTGCAGTTGGTGTGTATGTACCAGCTTTTTTTTGACCAAATGTACATACGTATGTATGTACCAATCCAGAGTAAATTATGAATAATGTTTCAAAACCTTTATTCTAGGGAATAGGGAAAAGTTATCTTGCAGCATATCATCATTACTGTCCTTTTCCTATTAATTGAAAGAATGTAAAATTGTAAATAACGTAAGGGTGACGATTAAATGTCTCTTTCTCTTGCTGTATGGCTCATCTGCCTTTAACTTACCATACTTGAGCCTCCGTAGATCTGAGGTGGACAAGTCTTCCAGCACATCATACTTTTTTTTTAATAAAATTTAGAAAAAGTTTTATTTTATTTATAAAAAGAAGATAGATACGTTCTGGAAATATCTGTGGTGTGCCTGTGGCATATCAAATATAATAATTGAAGTTATCAATATGGTTTTCTCCAGATATAGTGCTTCATTCTACTTGATTTTTCATCATATTGCAAACAGCATGCTTTGAAGGGATATATTGATGGTTTTCTTCACAGGTAGCTGCATCAACCAACAATGAAGTTGATGCCCTCGTACCTAATTACCCAAGCTTACCTCCACAACTTACATGTCAGCTCCATAATGTCACCATGCATGTAAGACTTGTTTAATTTGATTTTCCGATGATATATGTACCTATAGACTTGTCTCTAAAGCCTCAAAGTTGGTCTACTTCAGGCAGATGTTGAGACAGATGAAGTATATGCTCAAATGACCTTGCAGCCGCTGAATCCCGTAAGTGATTTTGTCTGCATTCCCACTGTGATGTTGTCAGTCGTATTGATTGCTTTAAGTCATGAAGTTTACTTGTTCTGCAGCAAGAACAAAAGGAAGCTTACCTTCCAGCAGAATTGGGCACTCCCAGCAGACAGCCAACAAATTATTTCTGTAAAACATTAACAGCCAGTGACACAAGCACCCACGGAGGGTTCTCTGTTCCTCGCCGAGCAGCTGAAAAAGTGTTTCCCCCACTGGTAAACTGTCACCATGCCCTCATATGTTTTTAATTTCAATGGTTTATTTATAAATTTATGCTTCTGATTGCCTACAGGACTTCTCACAGCAGCCTCCTTGTCAAGAGTTGATTATGAGAGACTTGCATGACAATGAATGGAAATTTAGGCATATATTTCGGGGTTAGTTTATTACGAGTCCTATTTTCCCTCGTCAAATATGGAACTATTTTACCTGGAAATGCTATTTTCTGCAACATGTTTCCTTGTAATTGTAAAGTTGTAAAGAAGTTACAGTACGTGTCACAGACAATTAGCAGTCCCTTAATTATAATTTGCCACTTTATGCCATTGATTGATTTGATTCATTTGATTACTATAATTATGCTAGCAGTTGTTGACTTCTTCTGCCTTGCAGGTCAGCCCAAAAGGCACCTCTTAACAACAGGATGGAGTGTATTTGTAAGTGCCAAAAGACTAGTTGCAGGTGATTCGGTGCTTTTTATCTGGTACGTAGCTGATTTGTCTTTTACTTTATCTTCTACTTTGTGTTATAGTATTTTGATGCTCAAACCAACATATTAGGTTATTTTGGTAGGAATGAAAAGAATCAATTACTTCTTGGTATCCGACGAGCTAATCGACCTCAAACTGTAATGCCTTCGTCAGTTTTATCAAGTGATAGCATGCACTTAGGGCTTCTTGCTGCTGCTGCTCATGCAACTGCAACGAATAGCCGCTTCACTATATTTTATAACCCAAGGTATGGTGCTATTGCCATGCATCTAATCATTGAGGTATTCTCTGTCTAGTGATTTATCAGCCCGTCTAAAACTTATCCCCTTCAATTCAGGGCTAGTCCATCAGAATTTGTCATACCTTTGACAAAATATATCAAAGTTGTCTATCATACTCGAGTTTCTGTTGGTATGCGCTTTAGAATGCTGTTTGAAACAGAAGAGTCAAGTGTTCGTCGGTAAGGCAAACCTTCTCTCTTGTTGACATTTCGTTCTAAATGTTTAAAGTAACTTTCCTTACAAAAGGATCATATTAATATTCTTTTAGTGAAAAGGAATAAGTTGCAACTATGGCATATGTTATATTAGATCTGCTGTTCTATGGATGCATTTTTCTAATGCATTCTTCAATCATCTAGCGGATCATTTTGTTTCTTTCTATGTTTTGGATTCCATCTCATATGCTTACTTTTGAACATCATGGATTTTGCGTCTGATGGTTTTGCATTTATCAGATACATGGGTACAATAACTGGCATAAATGACTTGGATCCTGTTCGGTGGCCAAATTCACATTGGCGATCAGTCAAGGTATATTGAGAATGTTTTACCTTTATCTTTTTTCATTAAGAATCTTGCTCATTTGTTGTTTTAGATATTCTATCATTGATGATGAGATTTTTTCAGAATTTAACTTATTCGTGCAGGTTGGCTGGGATGAATCAACAGCTGGAGAAAGGCAGCCAAGAGTGTCCTTGTGGGAGATTGAACCATTGACAACATTCCCTATGTATCCATCTCCATTTCCTTTAAGGCTTAAGCGACAGTGGCCACCAGGATTACCTTCTTATGGTAAGCCAATCTGCTGCTAACTCCATGGCTGTGCAGCTCCAACTACTAGTTTTATTTCTCTTACCCTCTCATACGTTGAATTTGACTTTTAGAAAGCTTTTTCCTTTCATCTGTGTGTTATTCTTTGACAATTTTAGTTGTTTTAATTCAACTTTTTCTGTCTCTTAGGTTTCAAGGATGATAGTTTAGGCATGACTTCTCCACTTATGTGGCTGCAAGGAGCTGCAGGTCGAGGAATACAGACTCTGAATTTTCAGGGGATTGGAGTTACACCGTGGATGCAGCCAAGACTGGCTGCTGCTTCCTTGCTGGGTTTGCAGACCGACATGCACCAAGCTATGGCTGCTGCTGCACTGCAAGACATGAGAGCTGTGGATCCGTCCAAACCAGCAACCACTACATTTCTGCAATTCCAGCAACCCCAAAATCTATCCTGCAGGCCTGCTGCTTTAATGCAGCCCCAGATGTTGCAGCAGTCTCAGCCTCAGGCCTTTCATCAGGGTGTTGAAGACAACCAACGTCAGTCTCAATGTCAAACCGAGGTTCAAACACAACCACATCTTGTTCAGAAACAATTGCAGCAGCATAATTCATTTAATAGCCACCAAAACCAACAGCAGTCGCAGAATCCACTGTCACAGCAACACCAGCAACCAGTCGATCAACAGCATATTTCTAGTGCGGTGTCTGCCATGTCACAGTATGCTTCAGCCTCTCAATCCCGGTCATTGCCTTTCCAAGCCATACCTTGGCTTTGTAATCAACAGAGTTTTTCTGATTCAAATGGGCAGACCAGCCCTATTGTTTCTCCTTTGCATAGTCTTTTGGGTTCTTTTCCCCAGGATGAATCGTCCAATTTGCTCAACTTGCCTAAGTCCAACCCTGTATTAACTTCTACTTCATGGCCATCTAAGCGGGCAGCTGTTGAAGTTCTCTCATCTGGATCTCCACAATGTGCTCTGCCTCAGGTGGAACAGTTGGGGCCCATCCAGACCAACGTTTCTCATAATTCTATTTCATTGCCTCCCTTTCCTGGCAGGGAGTGCTCAATAGACCAAGAGGGGGGTACTGATCCAGAGAGCCATCTCTTATTTGGTGTTAACATAGAGCCTTCATCTCTTCTGTTGCAAAATGGGATGTCAAGCCTTGGGGGAGTTGGTAGCAATAGTGACTCGACAACAATACCCTTCTCATGTAATTATACGAGTACTGCAGGCACTGTTTTTTCAGTTAATCCAGCAATGACACCTTCCAGTTGCATTGATGAATTGGGATTCTTGCAGTCTCCAGAGAATGTGGACCAAGAGAACCCACAAACTAAAACCTTTGTTAAGGTCAGTTGCTTTCTGTTTTAAATTGATGAATTTGGCTGGTGTTATGAGTTCCATTTGGCTTGTGAATTTTGGTTAGTTTGATCTGTTTGCAGTTTTATAGCCTTTTTTTTTCAGACAATTATTTTGATTCTTTGTAACTGATGTGGATACTTTTACAATGGAACAGGTTTATAAATCAGGGTCCTTCGGGAGGTCATTGGATATCTCCAAATTTAGCAGCTACAATGAGCTGCGCGGTGAACTTGCATGCATGTTTGGCCTTGAAGGCCATTTGGAGGACCCTTTGAGATCAGGCTGGCAGCTTGTATTTGTTGATCGGGAGAATGATGTTCTTCTCCTTGGTGATGACCCCTGGCCGTAAGTTTCCCATACTCCCATCGCATGGATATAGTTTTGTCTCAAGCTTTAGGATGCGTGTCAAGTTAATTTTGGACAATTTTCTCAAGAAATTAATGCGTTAAAAATACTTTTTTGAAATGCATGCTCATCCACGGACAAACACATGTTTGAAAACTTGGTGAAGTAAAATGAAACCTTTGGATGCAAGCATTTAAATCTATTTTTGGGTTCTCCACATGCTAAGTTCTTTGCTAATTCCAAACTTTACCTTCTATTTCGTTTCCAACAGGGAGTTTGTAAACAGTGTGTGGTGCATCAATATACTTTCACCGCAAGAAGTTAAGCAAATGGGCAAGCGTGGCCTGGAGCTTCTAAACTCTGTTCCAGTTCAGAGGCTCTCGAATGGCGGTTGTGATGACTATGTAAGCCAGCAGGACTCGAAAAATTTGAGCTGCGGTCTTGCTTCCATGGGGTCTTTGGACTACTGAAAAATTATACCTGTTAAGATTCCGTTATTCTCCTGTAACGTTAGTGCGTCTTGGTACCCTTTTATTGGTTGAAAGAGCTGCTAACTCTAGCTTGAACTATTATATTAAAAGATAAGCTAATACTGTAATTATTAAGAGATCGTGGCCTATGTTATGGAAATATGTACAATTCATATTTATTAGCACATCGTCGTCAATATTTATGAAGCAAGCTTTAGCTTTTTCCCTATCGGATTCTTTAATTGTCAATTTATCTTATGAGGTGAAAGTTGCCGCACAAATGACAACGAGCTTGAAGCTTTACCCAAGATTTGGAGCTCCTTTATCTGGTATAAAAATGGGTCCCTATAGAATTTAGGTGTCGAAAAATGGACCATTTCTGGGTTGCTTTAGTGTGAGCGTGGCCCACATTTTGTTCATTTATTCCAACTTTTGGAAAGTGAACATTAGCCTACTTTCATTATCTTCATCGGCTGGCTCTTCGACCTAGCTGGGAGTTGTCAAAATCCAACCTATTTGATGAAAGTGAGATACTGGTCATCTTTCAAACATATTAAAAAAGTCTGGTGTCGTGGGGTTGTTTAAATGGCTAATAAATGCTGCTGCTTTGGCTGGGCAAAACGTTAGATGATTCCATTGCCGTTCATCTCGACAATACTATGATTATAGACAAAAATAAAACCTTGGAAGGAACTCGCATGCAGCAGATGAAATGGAAGGTATGCAATAATTCCTTAGCCTAACTGATGGACCAGGGTTTATGTCGGTCGACCTGACATGTGAGCCACCCACGTTCCTCCCTCATTTTTCATATTTCCACTTGAGGATAAAGTTTCAATGAATTTAAAAGAGAATTTTAGACACTTCGACTATGTTGTCGGTTTAAAAATAATAATTGACATTCAACGAACTTAAAAGATCAAATCTAAACACATACAGTCTCTCTATCCCTAAACTACATTTTTTTCCAAAAAGGGGGATAAAAAGCTAAGATATTAGTAGAGGCCTCTTTTATAGGGGACGTGGGCTGGATGGCCACAATGTAAAGTTGGAAATGAAGGGTCAGTTTTGTTTTTCTGGAGACTACATGTTGTGGGGACATTTGACAATAAATGGATAGCCCACAAGTGCTTGGGGGATGGAAAATGGTGACAAAAAGGGTAGGGTACCCAACTACCCATCAACAATAAAAAATCCCATTTTAAAATTAAAGGAGGGTTTCCAGCAACCTCCTCTGAAGGCCCTTTATGTTTGGGATAGCTCCGAGAAAAATGGTACCTTTTTCCTTTTAACTTGAACCGCGTCAATGGTTTTTGCTTGAGTTGAGACCCCATGTTCTTTGGCAAAACCAAGTAATAACATGGGCAAAAAGGGGCAAAAGTGCCCAGATAATGATACAGTGATTGTTTAATTCCCAAAAAAATCCAATTTACTTATTATTTCCCGAAATGGGGTGAAATGTACAGTGCTTCAAGTGGTTCTTCGGATATCTCGGCGTCTTTGGGGTTAATATTTTCCATGACGCTAGGGGAATGCTCGGCGTCTTCAAACAATGCATATTGACTGTGGGATCTCTCGGCGTCTTCTGTTGCATGTGGGAGATCACAGGGTGAGCAGAGAAAGCTGCTGTTGCATGTGCCAGGGGTGAGCAGCTGCATGTGGGGGGGCCTGGACGTGAATCGTGCATGCATGCTACAGGGAATGCCAAGGTGGATCTCTCGGCGTCTTCACTTGTCGTCTGGCGCACGGGAATCTCTGCATGACTCTCTGAATCGTGCATGCATGCTGGGGGGCCTGGACGTCTGAATCTCTCGGCGTATTCTTCATCAATGGCAGAATACATGCACTGGGATAGGGTACCACCAATTATTGCATGCACCGGAAGCCCGTGAACATGTTTATAAGAGGGGTTTAGGCATTTCATTTACAATTACATAGAGATTTCCTTATCCTTTTTCTATCATATGAGTGCCATAAGTTTAATACGCTGCAGAGGAGGAGACTAGCTACAGTAAAAACAGACGTCGAAGATCTTATATCAAGGTTCAATCAAGAAAGTGCAGTCAGGCAGTTCCTCGCAACAAAGGTATTCTCATCTTTAGTTAGAATGTGAAAGCCCATTTAATGTGATTTCTATTTCCATGATTGTGTTGATGAAGAAATATGTATTACTCTTTCATTTTGGCTTGTAGATCTTTGATTGCCTCAGAATCTTTAAAGCCTTTGATGATATTTACTTGATTGCTTTTGGATGCCAAAACCCGGACATATGATATAGGAAGACTAGGAATCTTCAAAGGGCTTCTTATTGCATTGAACTTGGATTTTCTCGGTTTAAATATGTGTCATTGATTATGAATGGCCAGAAATTGTAAGAACTTGCCTCTGCAGTCTTTTCTTTGCTTTAATGTATCACTAAAAATTGCTAATCTATAAGAACACATGGTGTAAAGAGGTGATTGAACATTTTGTATCTCAACACTTGCTTAGGGTTTGCTTTGTGAACTAAAAGTGTAATTGCTTTCATCACATGTGGATCGATTATTGACTTGAACAACTTGCTTAGGACCTTAACTTCTTACCATGGTGCATCACTTTTATTCTCATTCCAAGAATCTGTGGGTTTGACATGGAATATGAAAATTGACGAGAAACATTAGTCATGCTGATAAAGCTTCAGATGCTCCTTCTTTTGTCCCCTTTTGGAAGGATGATTTCCTTGTGAACATAGGAAAATCTTTTACTAATACAATCTTCCTTTCTATTAAGATGTTTTTAGTTGAAGGGGCTTTTTAACGTTGAAGGATGATTTTCTTTTAGTTTCAATTGGAGTTGTTGCTTTGCTTGAAGTGGGTTTTGAGTGATAATTTTTCGAGTTTTGGTTTAACGCTGTTCAAAAACACGTAAGTTCTCTCTCATTTCCCATGTGAACTTCGTTTATTTTTTCCAACATATTAAGTTGTATTTGAGTGTAATATTTTATTTATTTATAGATTTGTTGAAACATGGCAGAAGAAAATGTTCTTTTGAGGCTAGATGGTCGACACATTTCGAGTCATTTGGGAGAATTGGTATTATGATTCAATATTTTTTTATTATTTTAAAACGGTGAATTAATTATAATTAATTGGATTAAAAAATTGCAGGATGACGAACAACGAGTCCTTCGTCCTCGACTTATCAATTGAGATGCCAGATCAACGTACTGTCGAAAATTTAAAAATAGACGGTTTTTATGATGTCGCTTTTGTAAGAGAATTTAGGTTGGTCCCCGGTCTGATCAGTGCATTAATTGAACAGTGGAGACCAGAAACTCATACTTTTCATCTTCCGTGTGGTGAATGTACGATCCCTTTGGAGGATGTGGCTTTACAACTCGGTGTTCCTACAAATGGAATGGCAGTGGTGGGAAATACTGAACTTAACGTGTTTGCAGTATGTGAGCAGTACCTTGGGAAGGTACCACACAAAGATTTAACAAAAGGGTCACGGCTGAGATTATCCTGGTTGGCAACTGAGTTTAAGCTCGGTCCTCAATGTAATGAGCAAGACATTATATATGCAACTCGAGCATATATATTACGGTTGATCGGCGGAATCTTGATGCCTGATAAATCCAGTAATCTCGTCCATGTACAATATCTTTCGTTTTTGGGTAACTTTTTTATGACCCATCAGTATAGTTGGGGATCGGCAATATTGGCGTTCTTGTATCGCGAGATGTGCAAGGCGTCATTACTTGTAAATGATGCGTATACGACTGAAATCGGTGGATGCACGATGTTATTACAATCATGGGCATGGTACAGAATTCCATGGTTAACACCGATTAGTCGAACTTCATTTCAGTTTCCTCTTGCCGGGAGGTAATTTTTTATTTAAAATATTTTATCTTAAATTAATTAAAGAATATTTTGTAAAGGAAAAATAATTACATAATTTTATTTTGGTTGGTATACAGATGGAGGCATAAAATAGAAAGAACGGGGTTGTCGCACAATAACCTGAAAGAGTTTAGGTTTAAGATTGACATCAAATGCAAAGTTGAGGTATATATAAAATTAATTAGCGAATTTATTTATTATTATTTTTATATTATATTTTGTTGTTTATTTATTTATTTAGGTATGAATTTTGTAATTATTTAATTAAATAATAACTAAATAATTTTATTTTATAGTTTATTTGGAGGCCGTACAATGATGGAGAAATTATTTCGTGCGTACCGCAACATGTTTGGGAGGGTTTTCAATATTGGTGTGCTGTTACACCATTGATTCATTTCACATTTGTGGAGTATCAATTTTCCGATAGAGTGTTAAGGCAGTTCGGCTTCCACCAACCTATTCCAAGAATTCCAGAGAATCATGATGCTCTCCACAAATTAGATGGGCGGGGTAGGGTCGGTGAGGATTGGTCTGTAAGGCATGCCAACCATATCAATCATTGGAATAACATGGTTCATACTTGCCAACACTCACTCCCATACAGGAGGATGACTTTGACTTTGAGAGTTCGGATTACCTGAATTATTTCTGGGAACATGGAAAGCCGTTCTTGACAACGAACAGAGAAAGACGACAGTTTATAGAGTACCAGAAAAAATTTGGTAAACCCGAGAAACCAAGAAGGACTGGGAGTGGGAGTGGGAGTTCTTCTCACCGTGGAACAGAACAAGAGGCAATGGATAATATCCCACCAGAATCTTTTGATCATACAAGATCATTTAATCAAGAGTTTGGTGATTCTGGTGTTACGTCCTACACTCCTCAGCTTTTTCCTCATCAATCACCCATGTTCTCTCCCATGTTTGGGGCAACAAATGATTTTATTCAGGTGACATCTATGATGACAAATACGAGTATTTGTCCTCAGATGGGAGAGCATAGTGGTGGTGGGAATATATTTACAACACTGGAGCCTATGCCCTCGATGAATGAGCAGGTTGGTTATGATGAACAAACTCCTGAACAAGTGCAACGACCACAACGAAACCGACG